TACCCGCATTTTCTCACATTGTTTATTACATGTTTTGGATTTAATTACATGCGCAAACTAGAAAGAATTTATAAGTCTTTATCAGATCTGTTTCATTTATATTAAAAAAATTACTGGCATAAATATTATTTTATAAGAACCTTCAGAAACGATTTTGTTGAACTAGAATTTATTGATCAATTTAAATTAAATCGATTTTATGATATTTACTCAGTTGTAACTTACAAGATAATATAAGTTTTAGGCAATTCAAGTTTTTTTACGTGCATAGCACTATCGTATTTAACAGAAATAATTGTAACGTTTATTTGTTCACTAGAGTTATATAAATTACTCGTTCAAGTTTGGTACCATAATATGTACAGTTCAAAAGTTAGGTTATGTTCGACTTTGTCCCTATTCATGGAATAATCTTGAAAATTGGTCATTTAATGTATGTATAATGAAATTTTTCTTATGAATTCATAAAGATAAATAAAATATACAACTACCACAATTTTTTTATCAAGTAAGTTGCACAACAAATACAATAATTTTCATATTCCATGAATAGGGACATATTCCACGAATAGGGACATTCACCTTATGTAGAGGGATACTGTTCAGCTGATAATGTGTGTATTAATGTGTATACAATAAGTATACAGAACCACTCCTATGTCGGAGTCAGAAGAATACGTGAATCTGCATTTATNGGGGGACATCCACCTCCTCTGCTTTCTTTAGCTTTGCTCTAATTTTTGAAAACAAGCCCATCACTATTGCTTTAGTCTTTTCGTCTAGGACATCGAGTTTTTCACACCCTTCTGGTTCGAGCTGTAATGCCAACATTTGTTCCGTCATACTTTCCCTTTGCTGCCTTTTACTGGGCCCTAGCCTGCACATTTCGGTTATTACATTATTACCCGGGCCCTCGTTATCGCTTTTCGACTCATGGGTCATATCGCCTAAATGCGTCATTTTTCTTCCCTCCTTTTTTATGTATATATTAATATATATCGTGAGTCGTATCTTCCTTTTTGATTATGCTAGATCTTATGTATTCTCCTACAGTTGCGGGGTTGCGTTCAATTACCTATATCGCAGATTAATAATAATCGGACGAGAGAAAAAAAAATTGTAGATGGCGAGGTAAGATCGGTATTCTTCTCTCACTTAGTTTCTTTGATTTAGCCTTGTATTCTCGTTTAGAGGTATATAAAGAAAAATTTTTTTTCTGGTACAACCAATCTAACTTTTATCAGATTTTACAAGTTTTTATAAGTCACTATCAACCGGGAATTGGCACTAATTCTTTAAAAAAATTTCTAGTTTCAATAGTCAATACTTGATAAGGTTTTGATACACTCTGGAACATTTATTTTTTAGGTATTTCATTGTGTTCATTTCGAATGTCCGGCACAAGTTAGCGAAGTTAAGTCACCAAGCTCTCAAAAACCGAAGGAGTTGTCCAATAGTGAGGAAAGCGATCAAGCAGCTTCATCATCATCACCACCACCAATTCCCTTGCCTTCACTTCCCACAGAAACCGCTACTGAGGCAGTCAACATAGATCACAATGACAACTCGGATGATAATGCTGCAGAAGAATCCCCATCCTAATTTTTTAATCTTGTTAAGTTTTGAAACTATTTTTACACCTAGAGGGAAATCACTACGGAGTTTTTGTTTTATCAATCGAAAAGCAAAACTTTAAATTTATTACATAACTTGGATCAGTATTCTTATTTTATCCTTTTTGGTCATGTGAAGATAATTCCTTTAATTCGATTTTATTATTTATATTATGTATACATTTTAAATTTTCATAAAGTTTAAAAAGCAATATCTGTAAGCGTGACCTTCAAGGAAATTTTCTTCTGAAAAAAAATTATTCAAGTACAAAAGACTGGTACAGCATACATGTTGGTTTTTAAATTATATCACAGTCATTGTTGCAGAAATTATTATTGTTACTTTTAATTTGTTTGGATCTTTTTTTTATTTTTATTTTTTTTTACCTGTTATAGTAATTCATCAAAATGATAGAATACTTTTACTTAAAATAAAAAAGAAAATTACGGAATTATTTTTTTGTTGTTGTTCAAATTATTTTATTCCACATGAATTGTTAATATTGTTTACTCTATGAAGAACAAATCACAATGTAAGATTTTATAGGCAAGTGTAAGTGTAGATACATGTAAGATGTACATTAGACTGGTTCAAAATTTTTAAGAAGTAAGTTACGCAAAATGTTGATTTTAGCTGAAAATTCAAATATAGTTTTTGGTTGTTGTCGGGTAAGTCGTAGAAATGACGACCTCTTTCGTTTGAATACTCAATGATAATGGTAACTTTTTCTTTATAACAATCAACAAGAAAAAAGTTTGAAAGAACAAAAGTTATCTCCATTTTCACTAAGGAAACAATTAAATAGTCTTGCAAACTGTTTGTCATCTAATCGATTTAATTAGTGATTATACGCGTGAAAAGTAGCGAATTTTTTCCGTAAAATGTTTAGTACTGTGTATTTTCTTTTCAATTGATACAAAGTTAAGTTCTTTTTCCACTCAAAACTTATTAATATAGTCCTTAGCTATAAAAAAATCCTTACATGCACAATAGTTGGGTACATTTTAGTGCCGTGTATGATAGAAAAATCGTACGAAAAAAAATCGAAATTTTTTTAGTAGTAAAATGGAGGTCGGGACAACTAAATCTCATCTCATGTCTATAAAAAAAATCTTACGTTTTGGTCTAAAATCAAAATTTAAAAAAACTTACTTCTCAAAAATTTCAACGGTAATTTTTTAATATCTTAGTGCACACCGCACACCCAAGGCACTTTATACACATCAGGACATTTTAGAATACGATGAGCAAGTCTTCATAATGTTATAGATCATGGGTATTACTAGTTGTATATGACATTAATCATATGTTGATAGATATGTTAATTGCACATCTGACTTCGTTGCAAGTAAAAACTCAAAAACCTATTAAGACTTCGTAAATATAGAAAGTCAAAAATAATCACATAATTTTTAAATATCAGTTGAAATAAAAGTGCTACTTGATAATTTCTATAAAATAAGTAAAATTTCAACTAATTTTTTTCAAAAGCAGAAGTCTTTGCGGAATAGAAATGCAACAATTACTTAGTAACATCAAGATTACTTTACATTTAAAGATGATTAACAGAATTGCCTTTATTTTACAATAAAACGAGCATAATAGTAGCATTTGAGTGAGAAAAACGATATGGTTTTTATACTTACTGTTGCCGTTGACCTTATTTTACTTGATATGCAAATTATGTAGAAAATGATGTGCATGATTGACACAAAATATTCATGTATGCTTGATTAAATGATCACGTACCTTTAAATGTACTAAAATATAAAACAAATTAATCCAAGCAAATAAGCAAGTATTGATTACAGTATAACACAAAGAAATGTCATAAAAACTTGAGTTATAAGGGTTTAGCAATTCATGGTATTAAATTTTATTTGACTATTAAGTATTAGAATTCAGGATTTAGAATACGAGCTTTATAGTCTTTGTTGACTTTAGTTTAGAATTTATCTAATGATATTGTGAAAGAATGCTGCAATTAATGAATTCTTAGCATGAAATAACTGAAGATGAATTGTTAAACACAGATGTACAGTGAAAATTGTAGTAATCGTTTTTGAAGTACAAACGTCTGTTTCAAAAAACGATGCCAAATAGTTACGTATTACATTAATTTTAAAACTACTTATTTTATTTTTAATTCATGAGTTTCGAATATCATTTTTTATCTTTCATTAAGCTGATAAATTTGTGTAAATATACAACTAAAACTAAAGGTTTTCATAGAGCACGATTTATTGTACCATTAAAATTCGTGAAACATAATTTTTAAATATTTGAAATGAAATTAATCCTGTAAAACTGGATGGCCTTGTTTCAAACACTTAACTAATATATTGTAGCGTGTGAACGTAAGCTTGTGCTCGAAAAATCGCAAATATAAAATATGGTACTATGTAATAGTTGGGATCACGCATATATTTTAATTTTGGCGATTGTAATCGAACAAAATACAAAATTATGAAGTGAAATAATTGTATCATAATTATATTGTATTGATTTTGGGTATCTTGACATATTTGTCTTACTATGTAATTTTTGTTTATCTAGTCTTAATTTACAACATACTATATTTTTTCTAAATTTGTGGGAAGTAAAACTGCTTGAAGTTTGTATACTTTGTAAGAAACAGATCAAAATAAAAAATTTTATGTAGGACATTAAAAAAGGTTTACTGTCATGAAAAACATTTTTTAATTTTCTTTCAACAATTAAAGACTGTCAATTTGGAGCATACCCTTGCAACTTGAAAAAATTTGGTTCTAAATTAATTGTTAGACTTTTACTGCAAATGTGTGTGTCGCATGATGATTCTTTGAAGTTGCTCCATAATGTTTAATTAATTGTTACCGTTAACACAAAAATTGATATTTTAAATAATGTTAAGACTAACTGTCTATTNAATTAAACTACGGTTTACAGAAAGGTTACACCTAACGTATATCACACAATTTTGCCAGCCAAAATGTACTGGCTGATTTAAAATACGGAATCATTAAAAAAATTTTTTTTTTAACGGAATGATTTAAAAAAAAAAAAATTTGTGTGGTTTGGTTAGCAAGGAACATAATCAACATTTTCCAAATTTTGGATTTAGTTTCCACTGAGAATTATAAATGTTAGTGGTTGAGTCTCCTTTATAAATTGTCTGTTTTTTTTTTTAAAAGTAAAAAAAATTCTTTAAAAATAATAAAGCATAGTTAATAAAAATTATGATGACATACGAAGGTACGATTCATATAGGATTGATTAATTTCACTGCGCGTGATTTATTATGTTCTTGTCTTTCTGTACTTACATTTTAATGTTTGTTTGAAAGTTTGAACCACTCGGTGCAACAACAAAAACATTACGCTCAATGAGAGGGAGATCGAAGTTGCATGAAAAGGCACCCTAAGCATAATCATGATCTCATCATATTATATGCCCATATACTTAAATATACGGAAGCCCGGGCAGACGAGTTCGACTTAAACAAGACGAGTTGTAAATGGTTGTAAGTCGAGTTATTGATATACAAGTCGTGTTCGTATACATGACATAACCCCAAACTTTTGTTTACATCACCTGTATTACAACAGCAGCAGCTTAAAGGTAATTATTGTAATTAAATTTACTCATATCGCATCGTCATACAAAATGAGAATGCCATTTATTCATGTACATACATAACATAAACTGCTATGCTGTATCACAAGCATCTCATTTATGTAATTTTTAATCAACGCAACACCTTTGCCTCTCACTTATTAGACTAGGTAAATTAATAAATGGTACAAGTTGTGTCACTTTGAATAAAATATACTAATTTCAGATAATTCGTATGGTATCATCTCATTCCATGATACATCCTGATATAGGGCATAGAGCCATATAGAGGTAAATATGGTTGATAGCGTCTATATTCGTTGATCAGGTATATGCCTGAAAAGTCAGCACCTGGTCAGCACACAGCACATTCAGCGTCTGTCTGGTCTGTTAAAGCATCAATCAGATTGTGATGACATTTGGCTAAGAAGTGTAAATATAGAGAAGGAACATTGTATTGTTTTTTAACAAACGTTGAACAAAAGTCTTACAGACAGCAGTTCATTCAGAAAAAATTATTATCGATCAAACATTTTTGTGTCGCAAGGAAATGACGTATGGATTCCAAAAAAAAGTTAGTATGAGAATGTTGAAGTTTTAGGTTAGAATAGAAAACCTGTTATCTTCTTATTTATATTTATAAAATCTTGCAAAACGTATGATAAGTGGACCCAACATTGTTTCTTCATCATTTGTTAATCGTTTTACAGATTCAATAAAAACAGGTATTGGAAGAAAAAATACCAACCGCGAAATGGAGCTGTTGATGTAAATAAGCCATCCAACATTAAAGTAATAGAAAATGTGAGTCAATCAGAAGAATTAGAAAATGATTTTACCTTGAAGCAACCTGTACCCAAGGACGGATGGTTTCCAGAGTCTGAATCAGATGAATCTAGCGACTTGGAGGATTTCTCATCGTTGATCAAAACAAGTAGTCACAAGCAGAGTGAAAAAAATTGGTTCGACAAAGAACTAGATGTACGTGAGACTTTTAAATTATTCCATAATCACATAAAATTTGTATGCCAACTGAAATAAGTTTTGATTTACTTATGATTTCGCGAGCGTAGAACGTTCAAGTAGCCTCAGATGTTGCCGTTGATACAAAAAACATCGAAGGCAATGAAAATTTACCAAAATCGGTCTCAAATTCCAAAATAGTCAACAGTATTTTAAAAAAAGTTGTAAAAGATAAAAAATTATGTGATGGTGCAGATGATGAAGAAAAAGAATTGGATTTTCTGCTGTCATTAAGAGAACCAGTATACACTGGTTCAGTTTTTTTAAAAAAAGGTATAGAAAGTTATCGATGTTTTAATTACTATTTTGAGGATTTTAAACAGTAATTTTTATGAGCAAAAAACTTAAATCCTTATAATTTATGAACAAGAAACAAAAGTCGTTGCTACAAATTCTGCAGAAAGGAAACCAGTCAAATCAATAGATCTAGAAAAGTGGTTAGACTCTGTATTAGATGATTAGCTACCAGACATCTGTACAAAAATATGGAATACTCTCCCTTAATTGTAAGTACTTAAATTTTTGTTGTTTATAAATATATATATTGCAACGTGTTAAAGTAAATAAAATTTATTCTTGATAAATAATAGAAGCATCTTGTAATTGTCACATTGCTCTTAAAATTAGTTATTATATCAGTTTAAAACTGATACAAGATATTCATGCATATAGTCATAAACCACAAGCATAATGGCACCTCCAGGACCAAGTCTTACTACTTTTGGCACAAGACCTTTGTACAACGCTCTAAATCTGTAACGAAAATATATGCTTAATCAGAATAGTTAAAAACTTTATTTCAATTTGATTTAAATGTTTTGTGCATACCCCTCTGCTTTATAAACAATTGCTATGGTGCGCAAAGTTCCCTTATATTTGTGTCCTTCAGGCCCTTGAATTCTACTCTTAGCAACATCAAAAGGAATATTAAGGCAGGATGCAAAACTTCCAGAACAAAATCCAATGGCTACCTGTTGTAAAATCTCACACTGTTAAAGTTTACTTAGTTATAAAATTATCAATTACTACCTTTGTGAGAAATTCATATGTAGAATTTGGATTTGATGGCACAGAAGACTTTACAGAATGGTAGAAGCCGAAATAGAAGCCGTTAAAGATGCCATTTCTTAAAAGAGTAGCGGTAAGGCCTTTATTCAAACCATTAAGTCCAAAGCCGTGTTTTCGGATGATTTCTTTTGTAATGGCCATTGTAGATGGGCTATCTTTCACATGCTTGCGATTAGATTGAAGTTGGACTTTGATGACTTCAAAAGGATTAACTAAAAAGCCTTCTGTGAATCCAGCACACAAGCCAGCGCATGAAAATGTCTATAACGACGTTGAACATAATCAACATTTTCCAAATTTTGGATTTAGTTTCCACTGAGAATTATAAATGTTAGTGGTTGAGTCTCCTTTCGTTTCACAAGACTTACCAATGGTGTTGGTGCACTTGCACCAAATAAAAACAATTGTTTATATTGTTCGAACGTGAAAAACTAAAATTTAATAGACTTTATTTTCACAGTATCAAATGAGTAAATTTACAAATCTAGATTGCTAATTTTCACCTTAACTGCCCTTTTTGGTGTTTCAACTAGGATTGGTGGTACAATGCCTTTCCAATAGGAAAAAAAGCCTTCATTTCTATACATTTTTTTCAAACAATCCCCAATTCCTGAAATATGAATTTTCTTATTGCTAGTTATTAATGGTAATTCTACGGTAACAAAAAAACACCTTTTCTACTAATGTTATTAAACAAAAGGGTTTCAATACTTTAAAGATAAATACATTGGGTGAGTCTTGAAAAATTTTGATAAAGTCATGGATCTTAGAACTGCAATTGTGCGCTCAATAAAAACATCAAGTTTTACAAGTGTAAAACTATAAAAGTGTAGTCAAACCTGTGTAGTACGTCGGGTCTGATCCTTTTGTTTTTACTTGCAACTGCAAGCGCGTTTTTACCAAATCCATTGGATGCATTATGCAAACTTCGACAAAGCCAGCGGATCCTCCAGATCCGATTTGAATAGCGGCTTCTTTCGCCCAACTCCTCTTTTTCGACGGTTGTGCTTCTTTATTGGCCATTGTTGATTATTATTTGATTCCGAACTGATTGTTAAATTTCAGTAGTTCAGGCTGATTTTTGTTTGTAGTTGAGCAATTTGTTATACTTCCAACTTAAGCAGTCAAACATCTATTCACTAATTTCAAACTACTTGTTTTCTAAAGGTCTCAATATTCAATCGTTTCTTTAAACTTCTTTCTCTACTGCAGAATGTTTTTCATTTTCGTTGTTGCCTTTTTTTTCTTTTGTTTTTCCTAGTAGTATCATTAGGAAATTTTATCCTCTTCCGAATTAGAGTTGCCTCAACCTAAAAAAAATTGATTAATTCTTTTTTTTTTAATAAATTGCCCACATATTTTTAAAAATTAAGTATATATATACTTATATATCTGAAAAA